CACCACTATGATCAAATCTCATGTGCCGGTGTCGGGCTGTCGGTTTCCTGAAACTGATCTGCTTGGCCCTCATACGTTGAATCTGGACAGGAGAGTCGATTATATATATATATATATATATATATATATATATATATATATATATATATATATATATATATATATATATATCTTCATATTTCGTGCCGATGGCTCTCAACATCGTAAACATAAAAAAAATATTATATACACTGACTCCATGTTATTGATCACAGCACTGAAAAACAAAATGTATAACCCACTCATCATTAAACTGCTCAGCAGGATCAATAGCTTAGAGATATTGTCTTCTGCTGTATACGAAACCACATTGGTGTCACAGGAAATGATAGAACAGATTCAAATGTAAGAAAAATATCAAACACATCAAACCCCTTAAATATCAAAATTCTATATACAGAGCTGAAACCCACAAATATTTTAGGGAGGAGTGGCAGAATATATGGAACTCCTACCCAAACAATAAACTGTATAAAATTAAACCTACTATAGAAGAATAGCATCAAAAACAGCAAACTAGACGAGAAGAAGTGATTATATTCAGACGCCATATTGGACATACTACAATAAACCATGCTCCGGTATGTCTGGCATGCCAAGTGCCATTCACCATAAAACACATATTGACACATTGCAGGAATCTTAATTTAATCTTAAAATACCACCAAACAACAACATTAAAGAACTTTTGCAAAATACTGACCTAGTTTATATATTCTAGTTTCTAAGAGAAATTAAGCTGATCTCAAATATAAAATTTTAAACTTATAATTGTAACTAACAGCAGTTTTACTATTTAAAATATTTTTTGACTGTTTGACGAGGCTTTATTTAAGAAAAAAAATATTAAATTTCAGTATTAAATGACCCAAATGTTTATTTATGTCGTAAAATAAACAAACAAATACACACACACACATATATATATATATATATATATATATATATATATACCCTTCCCTTCGGAAATGTTTTAATCCTCTTCTTCTCACTCCAGTTATGGGTAAATAGCAGGACAGACTGAGTTCTGCAGACTTGGATGGCAACTGGTCTAGGAGAAGGACAACTCTGAATTCAAAACATGCGGAGGGTCGTTTTGGGACCTTGTGACAGGCAGTGCGCCAGGTCTCTGTAATCGTCTCTTTAACAAGTGTGGTTGGTTCTGCACAAAGCCTTCACCACTATAATCAAATCATATGTGCTGGTGTCTGGGCTGTCGGTTCCTGGGAACTGAGCTGCTTGACCCGCATGCGCCAAATACGACGGCAGAGTCCACTATATCTGGGAGGAGGAGAAAAGGATTCATACCTTTCCCAAGGGTATTACCACGTAAGTGAATGTAATGGATCCTACTGGAATTCGAACTCGGCTCTCCGATACCTCAATCCACCGTGCCTATATATATATATATATATATATATATATATATATATATATATATATATATATATATATATATATATATATATTAAATTAACTGATTTAAAATATGTTTTTTTTCGATACACAGTTCTAACCATGTTTCAAAAATGGAAGCTAAAAGCTTCGAATTTAATTTTGTAATTAAATTAAAGACATTAGTTCAATTTCATCCTCAAGTGAATTTTGGAGTAACTTATTTTTAAAATTACTGGGTTTTAAAGGCACTGCAAAAATTCATAATTCACGTTTCCAAGGATACAGAGAAATCCATTCATCTAGACAAGGGGTGTTTGCTTGTTCATTATCGCTGTATTTCGTTGTATCATTTATTACTTACGTTTTGGCAGGGGTAGGGATGTATTTTTCAACGAATTCTGACATCCGTTTAATGCATGTCGTCTGGATTTTTTTATTTTTTAAAAATTTTATTGTTAACGGAAAAAAATTCTTAAGGCATTTTTTTTTCTGTTTGTATACTGAAAGATTTTGATGGGGGTGTTTAGGTTAGAATAAGTTTTATTTAACTAGGATTTTAAAAATATATTTTCACTTTTAATTTTTAATATACTTCTTTTTAAAACAAGAAAATGTATTAGAATTACTTACAGTATATAAAATTATTTTCACATCAAGTATAAGTATGTATATTACCAGGTCACAATTTTTTTTAAAAATTTATATTTAAATATTATTTAAGTAAAATTTATGACAATGACGGCAAAAATAACTAATTCATTTCTCTGATTTAGTAAACTTTTATTTTTATAAACTTAGTAATATATAGTTTCTCATGTAAGTACAAAGGACATGGGACATTTAATGGCCTACATATTCTAGCTTTTCATATTAATTTCATTTTACTGTAGGTGTTTTATTGGATTCTTAGGTTAGAATACGTATTATTTAACTACAATCTTAAAAGATGTTTAGGTTAGAATTCGTTTTATTTAATTACAATTTTAAATACAACTTTAAAATATTTCACTGTTAATTTTAATAGACTATATTTGTTTTAAAATAAGTAAATTTATTAGTATTACTTACAGTAAGTAAAATTATTTTTCCATATCAAGTATAAGTATGTATATTACCAGGTCACAATTTTTAAAATTTTATATTTAAATATTATTTAAGTAAAATTTATGACAATGACGGCAAATTCATTTCTCTGATTTAATAAACTTTTATTTTTTATAAACTTAGTAATATATAGTTTCTCATGTATGTACAAAGGACATGGGTCATTCAGTGGCTTACATCTTCTCGCTTTTCAGCTTAATTTCATTTTACTGTAGGTGTTTTACTGGATTCATTTAAGTGCTTGTAGAACTTTGAGAGAGGTGTTTAGGTTAGAATACGTTTTATTTAGCTACAATTTAAAAAGTTGTTTAGGTTAGAATTCGTTTTAACTACAATTTTAAATACAACTTTAAAATATTTTCACTGCTAATTTTAATAGACTTTATTTTTTTATTTATAATCCAAGTAAATGTAATAGAATTACTTACAGTATATTACCAGGTCGCACTTTTTAATTTTATTTTTAAATATTATTTAATAAGTTTTTTTGTTTTTTTTTTTGTTTATCCTCATCAGTTTTTATTTTTATTTTTCCATTGTCTAAATTTTTTTGGTTTTGGTATAAGTGTTTATTTAAGATATTAGCATTATGTTTCTTAATAATTTTTTCTAAGTTTTCCGTGCATCTGTAACTCAATTTTAGTATGTTTTTATTGAAAATAGTACTTAGTTTACTTTCATTAGGAAAATGCTTGACTATTAATGCGAGGAATTTTGTCCTAATTTGTTCTTTTACCATTTGGTTGTATGGGGCGTATATCAAATTATTTTTCTACTTCTGTTTTTCTATGCTTTCAATTTCATTTTTAATATAAGTTAGTTTTGGGGTTTTGTAGCCACTATCTTTTAGAGCTTTATTATAGGAATTGATATGCTCATGGAAAATTTTGTTATTTGCTAAATTTGTACTTATTCTTTTTCGGATAGATAATGGTATATGCTTAATTATAGATGGGGGTGATTTGATTTAGGGTGTATATATAAAGGATTGGTATTGGGTTTTTTATAAGGTGTGTATGTATTTTTCATTAAATCTAATGTTATATCAAGGAAGTTCACTTTTTTAATTTAGTGCTAACCTTAATTTTTGAGCCCATGCTTTTAAATTCTTTATATAATACTTTTCTAATTTTATCTATTATGAAGTTAGTTGAGTTTCTAATAACCATAAGTCCATCGTCTCTGTACAAACCAATGTCAGTTATATTAATATCACGGTGCGCTGTAAGGTTGTATAATATAAAAAGACCTATGAGATCAGAAGACTCAGCTGAGTCTAGTGATCTCATTCTGATGTCAAAGTGGTCATATAAATTCTTTATGCATTGCTCACTTTTATGCATCAGTACCAATTTTTTCGCATTTTCAATAATGTTCTTTTCTTCTTCTGTAATATCTCTGCTCTGTAAATCTACATTGGGAACTATTTTGTAAAAATATCTATAAGAACACCGGATTATATATCTTACTGTTCTTTTTTTATATATATATATATATATATATATATATATATATATATATATATACAGGGTGTCCATGGGAAGGTTCACGAATATTCATCAAGTGGTTGAAAGGTCAGTCAAAGCATGTGGGACACAAAGTGTCATAATTCAAAGTCTGGCAAACATTATAATATATATATATATATATATATATATATGTGTGTGTGTGTGTGTGTGTGTGTGTGTGTGTGTGTGTGTGTGTGTGTGTGTATGTATTTAAGTGAATATTGAAGTCAACACTTAGAGGCGACAGACTGTTTCATGCTAGACGCAATGGCCAGGCCACGTGTGTTGTTATTTTTATCGTCTATTTATATATACGAGCCAGTGGTGCATTGTGGGTAGTTTATTTTAGCGGTTATTTTGCCGGAAGTCGTTTATTTGTTTGTTTATTTATTTATTTATTTATTTATTTATTTGGGTTAATTTATTTTCTGGTTCTTATTTATTTTTATTTTTTATTTTTATTTTTATTTCTTATCTCATATATTTATTTAATTTTATTTTAATCGGTGTTTTATTAACGTAGTAAAAATTTGTTTATATCGCTTATTTAACAGTTTTGTTTTGGTTCGGGAAGAAAATTAAAGCTATTTATTCAATTTTGGAGTTGATTGCTTTAGTTTATTCTAACTATTATTTTGGCAGGAGCAGACGATTGGCCTGACGATTGCGTCTAGCATGAAACAGCCTGTCGGCTCTAAGTGTTGACTTCAATGTTCACTTTTATATTTACACACGCTCTATCTCTGATATTGAGCACTTTATCCTATAAATATAGCACACCTTAAGACTATATTCCCTGATATATATATATATATGTGTGTGTGTGTGTGTGTGAAGTGTGTGTGTGTGAAGTGTGCATGCGTATGCGTGTGTGTATGTCTGTGTCTATGTGTGTGTGCGTGTGTGTATGTGAAGTGTGTGGGGATCAATTAAGCAACTGATATTTGTAAAATGTTCAGTATATACTCCTAACATAAATGCCATGTGTGAATTTCAGTTTATAATGTGTCTTTACATTAGATACAACTTATTTGGTGAGATAAGATTTTATCATTTGTCTCGAAAACTATCGATTATATTCTGAACATAATCCAACCTGTTCAAAGGAGACACCGTGACCCGCGATGGATTTTTTAAATACTGAGCTTTTTGTGTTCATCAGAATAAATTCTCCCACTCTCTATATATCTGTATCGATCTCCCACTCTCTAGATTGTTACCTCTTACTCCTTATATATCTGTTTTTATCGCCTCCACTCTTTATATATCCGTTTCTATCTCCCCATCTCATTTCTATAATCGTTTCTCCCTCTCTCTATCTATCTGTTTCTATCTCTCTCTCTCTCTGTCTCTCTCTCTCTCTATGTTTCATTCTTTCTCCATCTCCCTCTATATATATGCTTCTATCTTCCTCTCTCTATATATATATATTTTTCTATCTCCCACTCTCTATATATCAGTTTGTATGTCACTCTCTCACTTTATCTGCTTCTATCTCCCTCTTTCTAGATATCAATTTCTATCTCACTCTCTCTCTATTTATCTGTTTCTATGTCCCTCCCTATGCATGCGTCTCTATCCCCCTCTCTCTATATATCTCTTTCTATCGCTTTCTCCATATATATATTTCTATCTCCTGCTCTCTCTATATATCTGCTTGCATCTCCTCTATATCTCTGTTTCTATGTTCTCTCTCTCTCTCTCTCTCTCTCTATATCTATATATATATATATATATATATATATATATATATATATATGTTTCTATGCTCCTCTCTCTACATATATATATATTTCTATCTCCCACTCTCTATATATCAGTTTCTATCCCTCTCTCTCTCACTTTATCTGCTCCAATCTCCCTCTCTCTAGATATCAGTTTCTATATCCCTCCCTCTATTTATTTGTTTCTATGTCCCTCCCTATATATGTATCTGTTTCTGTCTCCCTCTCTCTATATATCTGTTTCTACCACTTTCTCCATATATATCATATTCTATCTCTCTCTCCCTCTCTCTCTCTCTACATATGTATATATTTGCTTCTATCCCCCTCTCTCTATATCTCTGTTTCTATGTTCCTCTCTCTATATATATATCTGCTTGTATGCCTCTCTCTCTATTTATCTGCTCCTATCCCCCTCTCTCTATATCTCTGTTTCTATGTTCCTCTATATATATATATCTGCTTGTATGCCCCTCTCTCTATTTATCTGCTTCTATCTCCCTCTCTCTTGATATCAGTTTCTATCTCCCTCTCACTATTTTTTCTGTTTCTATATCTCTCCCTATATATGTATCTGCTTCTATCTATTGAGAAGGCACGGTGGAGTAACGGATAGCGGCTTGGATTGAGGAATCGGAGAGCTGAGTTCGAATTCCAGTCGAATCCATTACATTCACTTACGTGCTAACACCCTTGGGAAAGGTGTGAATCCTCTTTCTTCTCCCTCCAGCTATGGATAAATAGCAGGACAGACTGGGTTCTATAGCCTTGGATGGCAACTGGTCTAGGAGAAGGAAAACTCTGAATTCATAACCTGCGGAGGGAGAATGGAGTCTCTCTGAGCCTTGGTTGGCAATCCATTTAGTGATGGTGTCACGATAAAAAAAAAAAAAAACCCTTGATAGCCCTAGCGAAGCATCAAGAATTCAGCTATAGACAAGATTACACCAATCAAAGTATTAGTGAGTTCAATCTCGGCTGAGGCCGCAAGGTGATGATGATGCCTCTCTCTCTCTCTATATATATATATATTTTTCTGCGAACAACGTGGACCATCACAAAGCTGATGTCTATCTTATTTTGGATATACAGTGTAACCTCGGTTCTCAAACGTCTCACGTGTCGAACAATTCGGTTTTCGAACAGAAAATTCGAGATGAAAATGCCTCGGTTATCGAACAAAATTTCGGTTCTCGAACAACATTGCCGAACCGAACCGAGTTAACCCGAATGGAATCATTTCTGAGTTGACCGCCATGTTTTATATATTCGTGTGTTGTACTGTGCTTTTCTTTTCCAATTTTATTGTACTGTGCCTTTTTTCTCTTCATTAGCCCTGAGTCATGGCTCCAAAGAAAACTAGCAGCGATATTGGTAAAGGAAAAAGAAAAGTTAAGAGAAAAAAACAATTGTTGATGATATTGACTCTTTTTACTCAGTTTCATATGGCAAAATCAACAATCTATACTATTCTAATATGTAAAGAGACGCGGCCATCCCTAGGCGGCAAAATGGTTAGCAAGCTTGTCTCTCTAGAACAATTACGATCGAGTAGTGAGTTTGTTATAGTGGAACACACCTATTCTATAGTTAATAGACTCTCCACCTATAATAAGTTGGAGTAGTAATAGTAACGAGGAGTCGCTGAGTGGGTCGGGCAGTCAGTCGACGCTGGACGACCGTTAGTCGGATACTAAATTATCAGCGACTACAACTAGATTTCTCTGCGTTATACTTATTATATGAAGTTCCTAACGTTTTTGTACGTCGAACCTACTTTAGTATCCGACTAACGGTCGTCCGGCATCGACTGACTGCCCGACTCACTCAGCGACTGACTCGTTACTCTTACTACTCCTACTTATTATAGGTGGGAGAATCTATTAGCTATAGAATAGGTGTGTTCCACTATAACAGGGTTCGATCCTCACTGTGTTCCCCATAATTTCGGTCTTGTGCCACGTCTAAGCTACGTTTGGAAAATTGCTATAAATATAGAGACGATGATGTCTTTCCTTTCCAAAGAATAATATTTCCTTCCTTCCTCTTCCACTTACGCCATCAACTCTCCTATATACAAGTATGGTATAATTGAAGGGTTCGTCTATATTTTATCTGTTTAATATTGGGTTTATTTTTTTTCCTTAGATTTAATGATTTTCATTAGTTTTGTGTATAAACTTATACACAAAGTAATGTTGTTAAAGTTTAAATAAGCAATCATCTTGGGACAAGGAACAGATTAATCCACTTTACATTGATTCCTATTGGAAAAATATTTTCGGTTTACGAATATTTCGGGTTACGAACGGGCTTCAGGAACGAATTAAATTCGTGAACCGAGGTTCCACTGTATAAAGAGTGTCATGGAACATAAGAAAATAGTTATATAGACATATATACATTGTTTATATATATATATATATATATATATATAACCGGATGTCGAAAATCCTCATGTATAGACAATTCTTCTATGATAAGCGTAATATAGGCAATCCTTAGTTACGCTTCAAGGACAAACTCAAATACAATTTAAATGCTGCAAACATCCCTATAGAGGAGTTTGAACTTGCTGTTGAAAACCGAGCAAACTGGAGAAATACATGCTACCGAGGTATAAATAACTTTGAAAAGAATCGTCTCAATCATATTATTATTATATACATATTAGGTTATATATAAACTTAACTGATAGATAGATAGATAGATAGATAGATAGATAGATAGATAGATAGATAATGAAAAGAATGAGATAGATAGATAGATAGATAGATAGATAGATAGATAGATAGATAGATAGATAGATAGATAGATAAAGAACAAATAGGAAACGTATATCAATCTAACTTGTTTCACTTTAATTAAAGCTTCCTCAGAGATTGAGAGAAAACACACAAAAAGACAGAACTTTGGTATTTTCAATTTTGTTTGGGTCAATTCACATTGGTCAGTCAAGTATCACATTCATTAACACCTTAGATAATTCTATATGTATGCAAGTTGGTAAAGATTCTTATGTGTCTAAGTGGGCATCGGTTGGTAATGTGTATTCGTAATTGTGTATGTGTGTCGGTATTACCATCAAATGCTCGCCTATACATACAATAATCTTTACAATAATTTTTACAAAACTGTTTAACGGCATGTTCACTAATAAATCTTATTAATTAAATCTTATTAAGATTCTAGATTGCAGGTTTTGAAAAACGTAGATTTACACTGTTTAAAAAACAGGCACGTCTACTCAAACACGAGTATCTAACAGCAATAATGTTTTCTTTTTAATCATTTCAACCAAAACTGGCAATAAAGCCACTAAAACGCAAGGTGATATAGACTGTTAGATAATATGAGAAAAAATAATATTGAGTAGAGAGGAATTAAGAAGGCAGACGATAATGATTGACAATGCGTTTGAATTTTTAAAGATCAAAGTTGACTGAAAAGCAAGAAGTCGGAAGAGAGTTCATAAGCGAGAAAATGAGAAAATAGCATCCAGGAAAAAGAACAATTAAAGAACAAGAATTAAAAGACAGAATTTAAAGATTGACGTCGCACGAAATGGTTTGAAAATCAATATTGACTTGGAAGCAATAAAGCAGAAGAGAGTACCAAAAACGACAAGTGAGGAAGAAGAAACTGTTAGCATAGAACTTACGGTTACATCTAGCCAATTCATCTGTAATCTGTAATAAAGTAATAAGAATCACACACACACACACACACACACACATATATATATATATATATATATATATATATATATATATATATATATATATATATATTTAAGCATGTTTCGTTGAATAATTTAGACATAAAAGTACTTGGGAACATAAAAGAAATGACCAAAACTACGGCATCTTTATTACATAGTTTTGTAACAGCACTAAGAATTTGATCCGAGAATTCCAGAGGATTAAAATAAAAATAAATACACATAATATGTCTAGATTATTTAACGGAACATGCATGAATAAAGATATACTGCCCAAAACACACACACACACGCACACACACACACGCATATATATATATATATATATATATATATATATATATTGATTGATTGATTGATTGATTGACAGTCGAATAGTTTGATAATCTGACTTACCTGTAATACAATGAACGGGGTTCGGGATACTATTTGCAACTTTCTGAAAGGAGTCGCCATATTATCAACTGTTTATAACTCTCTGGCCGCCCGAAAAATGATGGCGGTCAACTGATCCGTCGATCGTGCTTGAAGTGAGCAACCTGAAGGACACGCAGTCCACTGTGATGATATCGCGTTCCCCAACCTTCCCATCCACCTTCTCATTTACCTTCGCACCTGTCGGGCCTTCTGAAAACTGACCGGACGACTCGACCGCTGGACAATCTATAGAGACACGGAAACGAACAGGCAAAAAGAACTACACTTCTATTAACCATAATACATCCTCATATACCCTACCGTCTCTGTGTGATTTATATATGAATGTGCATACATCCACACACACACACACACACACACACACACATATATATATATATATATATATATATATATATATATATATACAGAGGTCTGACATAAATAAATAAACAACATTATATTGTTACTTTGTTCAGATTTTATATTTAATAAAGAGTACTTATTGACAATTATTTCATTTATCATAAGCACGTAAGAGAAATGCCTACACTTCTACTTCACAATGCCTCGTACTCCAAGTGCAATGAAATTATAATATTTTGAAAGGGCGTTTATCATGGACTAATCCGAGTTTGGAATGAGGCAGTGTCAACAAGCATCGAAATTCTGAAGCAAGTGATTCTACGAATGAAGGTGATTAATTGGGGCAAGAAATGGCTTCTAAATTTTTTACGCCACCAAAGCACACGACACGAATTGGAACGATTATATTCAATCAATTGCTAGACCTGCTGCTGCTGATGGAAAAGTTGGTTCACTACGTTGAGCTGGGCAATTTTTCTCATCAGAATCCATTTTCACGTTTACAGATCTACCATTCATCCTTGCACTCACTACTGTTGACACATTTGCTCTAGTGATCTTTCTATGTGTCTAGAGAGATTTAACAAAATCCAAAGGTCTGTAATATTATCGGTCCTGACCTGGCATCTCGACTACAGTCATTTTTCCACTGCTGTGACTTGGATTTCTTCTGTCTATTCTATAAATAATTTCATAGCAATTTTTCTTAATGAGTTTTCCTCTTTGGTACCTCGACCGTATGAATTTAACTAGATTTACAACCTGGTCTCAACATTATACCAATGACCTAGCTGGATGCAACCGTAAGTTCTATTCTAATAGTTTCTTTTTTCTCGCACTTTTCGCCTGTGGAACATTCTTTTTGGTTTCTTGTCTCCCTGCCAAATACAATCTTCAAAAAATTCATAATGCAACAGAAATTGCCGTCTTCTGCCTTCCTGAAACCCGTTCTTTTATTGACCTTTTTTCTCAATAACGTCTTCTAATTTTTCCTTCACCCTTAGTAAA